TTTTTTACCTCTTCATTTTAACCTTTTTAGTTGTTTTGATAATAGGCAAGGTTTTACAATTGCTGCACATATACCTTCTTCTTATTTGATTTATTATTTAGGAAATGGAAATTTTATTGAATTGGATGAAAAGGTTGGATTGTTAACAATAACAGGAAATGCATTGGAACAATTTCATTATTTTAATCAAGAAGAAACTAAAAAAATGTTACAACGCATTTTAGGAACTAATTCTACTAGAAATACCAAAAGTAAAATACAAAATAATAAATAAACTAATATTTGATTTTTTGGTATTATTATAACAAAATATCATGTGATATTTATATTTTTGGTAATAAGTTTTAAAAAATAATTGGTATTAAAAATGAAATTTACTAATAGTGTTCAAATATAAGTTCTAATAATATTGTTCGGGGTCCTGCTAGGTTAATTTGCCTGAACCCGGGGTCAATTTTAAATTGTCTTATGTAATTTAGAATTTTGGTTTTTTTATGCAAAGTTATAATAAATATATTATATGGAAAAGAAGGACAAAAAAGAAAAAGAAAAATGGTTAAAAAAATCAAAAAGCATTAAGCGACATTCATATGATATTTAACAAAAACTCACTACGTCACATACTTTCTTAATCACGACCTTGGGCAAAAAAAAACCAAAAACATTCATATTGATGGCGCAGGGATGTATTTTATGATTAAATGAGTACATTTCAAGAATAAATAAATGATCAATCGAAACCAAAATTTGTAAATAATGTAAGTCTTGAGTTTTGTTGCTCAGTTTAAAATTTTTCTAAAGATCTACAAAGACCGGTTGATTCCATTTGGCGCCAAAAATTTTCTGTTATCGATCCTGACATGCGAGATCATGTACCTACAATTTTTGACATTTAACGTTTTACAATTGCAAGTAACTTTTCTCATAAGTTTAGACTTAAATTTGTAAATATAATATTTATTATAAATATTGATATTGATATATTTTAATTCAATCTTATAAAACCGAAGATACATCATTTTACAAAATATAAATAAAATCGGGGTGTTTATCACCCATGGCACCAATTTCCTTTTCACTCTTTCCGTCCAAGAACGATTGCGGGTCTTCTCGCTTTTTCTTATTAATTTTCTTTAAAAAATAATATTGTACAATGGTAAAAAAAAATGGAGACAATTAAGAATATCGCAGCCATTAAATGACCATGTAAATAATGTGGACCATCGTTTGGTCGATAGATCTGTGATCCTACTACCCCTCCTACATTTGCAAATGCTATCAACATTGCCGTCGCCACACTTCTTTTCCCGTTACCTGCCACATTATTTGTTAGCCTAAGGGAAGGAGAAGGTGGAATAAATATATCAGGAAAAAAGAAAAGAAAAAAGACAAGAAACTTAGATTACCATGCAACTGAAGTTGCAAGACATGGGCTTGCACCGATTCCAACAACGCAAGCTCCAATGTATTTTACTAGATATATAAACACATGATAATTTTAATCTTTGCAGTTTAAAATAATTTTTTTTTTTTTTTTTCCTTACCGGTGATACCAAATGAAGGTACAATTAATAAAATATAACTAACTATCCCAATAAGCGATAATATAACAATAAATGGACCACGAATACGTTTACGATCCGAAAGTACGACTACAAACAATGTTGACGCGGTACCACATAAAAATGGTGGTACCGATAATAACTGTGATATGACTGTGATAGAATTTTTTTTTTTTACGTAGTTAGTAAATCTAATGACAAAAAGTATAATTTAATTATAATTACCAAAATCAAATCGAGAAACATTGCAAAAGAATAAAGTGTTGTTGCAAGTCCAAAAATTTGTATCATAGACACGTAAACTTTCTAAAAGAGAGAAATCGATTTTTTTTTTAAAAAAAAAAAAAGGTAAAGACTTTTAACAAATTAATTTTTTACGTACCCAATCTTTAAACGCTTCGAAAAGTTGGGTTTTATCGAAATGGATTACGTAAGCTTTCCCAGCATCTTGAATTAATCGTTGAGTAGCAAATCTACGTTCTTTTTCGTCAAGCCATTTAGCACTTTCAGGATAATCAGAAATGTAAAAATATGCAAAAAAGGCGACCAAAACTGTAATTCTTACTTCGATCAAAAATAACTGTTTAGAAACAAAAACCTTGTTAGTAAAGGAGAAAAGAATACGGCAAACAAAAAAAAAAGAGGAGCATTATGAACGAACCCATTGCCATCCTTTTAGGTTTAATTTTCCGTCTAATCTTACGATACCGTATGCTAACAAACCACTAAATGAACCAGCAAAACTACTCCCAATCGTAAATAATCCTATACGAAAATTTTGTTCTGAGCGTTGGTACCACATTGTAATATAATAAATAACACCTGGATATAATCCAGACTCGAAAACTCCCAAGAAAAATCTTGCTAACAATAACCCATGATAATTCTTTACCTAAATTAAAAGTTCTTTAATTATTTTATTCTAAGATTCCTTGGGAAATTAAAACTTACGAGTGTCATGAGTGACATTGTAATTCCCCAAAATACCATCGTGGATGGAACTAAGTATGAGAAATTTATTCATTTATAAAAAACAATAAAATAAATAAAATAAAATAAAAATAAAATTGATATTTTATTTACTTCACTTTGATGGACTTGTCTTTATAAGCATTAAATTCGAAGGAACATCAAATAAGATATATCCTCTATAACAAGGAAAAAGTTAAACTTTTTGTTTTATCAATTTCAATTTATAAGAAAGAGGCCTTACACGAAAAAAATACTAAGACACCAATTATATTGATCGTTAACTAATCCAAGACTCTCTTCAAGATGTGCTAGTTTCGCATTTCCAATATTAACTCTAGAAATGATCATTATACTGTTATATAAAAATGCTTTTATGAGAACCAAATCAGAAAAACCTTTATCGCTATTTACCTATCCAAGAAACTTAAAAGGTATAAAAAAGTTAAAAAAGGAATGATTCTCAAATCCATTTTTCGTAGTAATGATTTTTCAAATTCTTTATCATCGTTTGAATCACTACTAGCAATCTCTTCATCATTTTGATAATTAACATCTGGCTTTGTCATTTCGCTGTGGTTAATACGTGATTTTTTTTTTTTTTTTTTTTTTTTCCCACTTAAAAATAAAAAATGAAATTTGTATTTTTAATTTTTGGACGAGTAAACGAAAAGGGAAATGTCCTTTCAAATATGGTCATGAAGTAATTAAACAAGAATCTCATGTGGCTGTTGAACTTTTTTGAACTAGTTCTTTGGAACGTTAAAACTTTTATTACAGTAAGTGAAAATTAAACGTTGTTTGTTTGTAAACTCGTTAGATATAAAAAAGGTAAAAGAATAAATAAGAAATTCACAGGTAATACCATTTCGGCCTTAATTTAACGGTACTGATGCCTGTAATTCATTCATGTTATCCCTGCGAATTACTAATAACATATCTGATACAACCCAAGGAAAACTTAATAAGATGGTCTTGTTTTTTTCTTCTTCAGGATATTCATCTTGGTTATATGTGGCATAGTACCATGCCGAAGCTTTAGCTTTTGATTCATTGTTTATAGGAATCGGGGCATTTAAATTAAATGGTAATTCATCTTCATCTTCATCTGCTTCATGATCGTTATGTAAGCCCATCAAGAATTGTTTACGACAATTATATATTATGAAAAATATCGACCCGATAATTGCATCTCGCATATCTTGACTTTTACTACCATCAATACGCCGGAATCCTAATAATTGCGCTGTTAAAATTTCTGCCTCGGTTTTAACATTATATTTCTTCATAAGACTTCGAATTTCACTATTATAATGATCACGACAAGCAATAGCTTCTTCTATATAGTCTTGATATCCTTCAAACAAAAATTTTTCATCCATCTTTATAGTCGTTTTATAATATTTTAACAAAGGGTCCTTCTCGGGCTTATCAAGTTGAATGTCGCGATATAATTTTCCCAGCACTTTTTCTGACCTATAAGAATCTCTATATCTGGAATCCATAAAATCTGGGTATTCAGAACGTCTTGTCAATTTTTCAACCACCGGAATTCCAGTTTTATTAAAATCGACCGCATTGGAATGCTAATATATAATTTATGAAGAATTAAAGATAAACATATATCATATATTATTAATCGGGATTGTTATTTATCAAATATATATATATATATAAATGTTATATTACCAGTTGTGCATTCTTCAGATCTAACACCCATTTCATTGAAATCGGCCAATGCTAAATGGAGATTGGCGATTTGACCGAGCCTATTGTTTAGCATGTAGTCTTTAAAGAACTCACAAATATCTTCAATTTCAACGTCCCTATCCAACTCTCTTTTTCCTTGGGAATCAAATTCCATAGGTTCCGCGTTTTCCTTAATTAAAATTCGTTCATCAAAGCAAATGAAAAATGTATCACCATCTTTTATTATTATTTTATTTTATTTTTTTTTTTAAAAAAAAAAAAAATAAATATAAGTAAAAAATAAAAAATAAAAAACGTGAGATTAAACGGGTTATGAAAGAATAATAAATCATAATAATAAATCATTACCTAAATCACCTCCACTCTATTATAAATTTTTTTTTTTAAAAAAAAAATTTATAATTTAATAACATTTATCTAAATTTATGTTTAAAATAAAAATTAGGTATAAGAAATTCAATAATATTAAATACCAAACAATTTGGCAAAGGTCTATCTCCTTTTTGGCTAAACACTATACAGTTTTTTAAATGAGACAGTTCTGGAATGTCAACTGCCTCAACTTTTCTTAGATCTCCGGGGTGCAAACATGGGTTCCTAGTAATAACTATAGAATAATAAAATATATTATACATTGTATTTGAACAGTCAGAAATCATTTTTAATGTGCAAAAACTTACTAGCTTGATCTGTCCAAATCTTAGATTCTCGTCGGATTTTATCATTCGCTTTATTGAACGTTAGATGTTCGCTAACAATGGTAGAGGTTTGCAGATAAATTTCGTTTTCTTCCAATTTGCCAGTCTCATCAATAACGCCCAATAATAAGAATGATTTAGGCATTAAAATACGAGCTTTGTGTCTTAACATCTTTAATGCATAAACACGTTTACATTCCAAAAGGGCATTTAAAAATGGATCAACAATCCCTTTCATCATTCCCTAAAATTTCCGATAAAATAAAATTAGTCGATATAAAGTATGGCTTCGTTAAATAATATATATTTTAATACAAACTTCTTCGATCATGCTAAGGATAGTACGCGTGATGTGTAAGCATTCTCTTGTGCCCATATTACGTTTTACAATTTCGCGTGCTTTTTCCTCATTCGTCATCATTGCATCAATGTCTGCGCACATTTCGTTTTGTAATTCAATAAATACCTCATCTGGCACCCCAAGTGTCGATAATATCATTATAATCTGTCGATTTAAATGGCCGGGCAATGAAGTTTTCACAGTTTTCGCAATCTCTAAAATTGAGGAATCGGGCGCATCGAACTTTTTTTGACTATCGCGTATGCATAAAACATCAACTTCAAGATTTGGATCAACTGCAACCATTCCCTAAAGAAATATGTATATAAATATATCTTTCATCATAATCAAAATAATCGTAAATCGCGTATACCAACCTTACATCCACCAAACCGTATTTGAAACACTGAAGGGATCTCATCATCGTTTAGTTTTTTGGTTCCCCAATACTCTTTCGCCGCTCGCTTTGCTAAACTTAACGAAATTTTCCCACAACCATCACTAAATAATAATAATAATAATAATAATAATAATAATCGATTCATAAATAATGCTTAAATTGAATAATAGGAAATGATGTTTCCAATAATGATCATATTACCTAAAGGTATAATTGTTTCTTTCGATGTCCTCTATTTCGTGTACTTGATCTGGATTAAGTTTCAATGTTCCCATCGTACTTGTAAAGCATTGTCCCATACGAGATGCATATAGTGCAGGAACCTTAATATCTCTATTTAACATGAGCTGGTTAAATTAATTGAAAGGCTATATATAATTTGTAATTTATAAATTATACCTAAATTCTCCCATACGAGTTCGGATAGCATTTGCATTGAAGTCTTCAGTTGGAGAAACGAACCAACAAGATGCTTCTTTTAGTTGGGATGAAGAAAAAGCTAAAAACTCATAGTACCGGCCAGCCACATGAAATCCATTTTTCATAATATAAATAATCCTCAAATCAATTATATCTTTGTCTTCATCTTTATTAACAAATAATTTATCAAAATTTTCTTCTTTAAATGTAACACGCAAAAAACGATCAATTTTATCCTCATATAAACGTAATATCCTATTCGACTGTTCATAGTTTGGCCCGTCAAAGTATATTTTTGTAGGTGTTATCGTTGCATGGCTTACCCATGCATTACGCATATTGTTTATTAATTTAATATTCGGATTTGAAGGATACCAAACATTCAATTCACTCTTAAAGTTTTTTAGTGCAACCTGAAAATTTGAAATTGGACGATCTTGAGATTTTTTATCAAAAGGATCCCAATATTTAGCCGATATTTGATTTAGTGCGTGCCACGCTATTACTTCTTGTTCTTCAACATGCACCAATTCGGCTAAAATTTCCCCCAAGTTGTTAACTTCCAATTCATAATGTGTTAATGTTCCATGGGAAATTAAACTTTCCAATTTATAACATAATCCAAATGGTAATGTCTGAAGAATAATTTCAAAATATTCTTTCGAATAATCTGGATTTTCAATGCAATTGACTGGGCATCGAGGCATAGGACGTCGAATGCCTTTTAACTTAAAATTATTTAATAAGTCACATAATTCATTGAGGTCAGATCTAAAAACTAATCGATACACCAAACATCTTCCAAATATATTATCAGTTCCAGTCCAATCAACAGTTCTGGTCCAAACATCATCGTCAGCTACTTCTAGCATTCCTAGAAGACATTTTGGCATGAGGTTTTCGCGGTAAAGATATGGAGGATGCTTTAAGCTAATGTAAAGTGAGATTACACCATTTCTTTGGTCACTATCATCTATAAAAATTCCACGTGCATTTTCGGTTAAAATACGAAAGGGAATTTTAACACGTCTTTTTGAGGTTACTGATGATGATGAATCAAACCCCTCCAATACAAAGGCTTCAGCGGTTTTTGAAAAGCATATACTTGGCTCCTTATAATCATTCGGATATTCCCATTCTTTTAAGAAAGTAAATTTTTCCGTGAGAGTATCAGCGTAACTTCTATTTCTTCTTCCTTTGCTACTTGTATGCACTTTAGATGATTGTCCACCCCAATTCCCGATTTCCAAATTTGATAAGATAGACGTAGCTTCCTTTACATCGTTCCATTTTGTATTGTCCTTTTTTCTTTTGACACGAAGTGCATATAAAGGTCTTCCCATACATAATAGTTGATTACGTGATTGTGATTTTTCAATACATTTAATAGCATCAACTTCTTTTTTAAATTCTACGTAACCATAAACACCTCTCCTATTTTTAGGTTTTATCAGCTTACAATTAGCTATGGGTCCGAAACTTAATAAAGTGTTTTTAACATCTGTTTCTGTAGCTTTAAAATGAACATTCTTAATTTTAATTTGTCTCCATTCTTTGTTATCAACTTTAATTTTCAGTTTTTCCATGATATTAAAGTTTGAAAAAATAGTGCGAAATGTGAAAAAGTTTTTTTTGTGAACGGAAATAAAGTCCGATTTAAATGTAAGATCTACATCGAGTTTTTCCGAATGACCCCAAAATGTACAGTATCTAATTTTGATAAAAAATTACTTCTCTCATTTAATTGAATCTAACAAATTTAATGTTCGCGCTGTAATTCAAATTTGCTTTAAATACTCCCAATCCTTGCTGAATATGTCTGAAATTTTTAAAGGATTAAGAATTAAGAAAAGATTAAACGTTGGAAAATCACGGATGGCGAAAGATTTATTTTATTATTATTTTATTTTTTCATTACATAGCACCCGCTCAAACTTGTGTGGATGCAATAAAGTAATAAATATATTATGAAGGTTCACCAAGACAATCATAATGTAAAAAATAAATATTCTTCGTTTAAAAGAAAAGTTAAGTTTCTTTAAATAGATAATACTTTAAAAAACTTATAAGGAAAGTAGAAATTTAGAAATTTATTGAACTGATTTCGAACAGTTACTAAAAACCTGGAAAATTCTACACGAAACGCGGTAAAACTCGGTAAAACTCAGATCCGTTTTTTATCTTTTAATATTAACGTTAATAAATTAACAAATTACATTTTAAATATATTTGTCATCTATTGTTCTTGGAAATATAAAATTATATATTCGAAAATTGTAAAAATTGTTAAATATTGCATTTATTCGTTATATAAATTATAATAATATTATTAAATAGTTTCTAATTCTAAAATTATCATTTTGTTAATAATTTTATTATATGGACCTTTGCAATAGGAAAGGGGAAAACAGCTGGAAAAAATAAAAAAATGAGTTAGTGCTAAATCTGAACATATTTTGACCTAAAAATCATATTTGGCATATAAAAGTAAAATTGATTT